AGCTGACATCTTTGGCAAATGCTTTTTCTGGTATTTATGCAGCTTCTATACTAGAAACCCACGGTCAAGATACAACATCGGCGAATCGAATCAAGCCAGGGATTTGATGCTAGTATTCTCTGCGCTGCACAAAGGGCATCGCATGTGGCTTCAGATCATTCAAACGCAGTCCACCACCGAGAGCTCCAGGCTTCACCTCCTTACTCCAGGTGTTTCACCTCCTTCCGGGCGCCCGAGAGCTACAGGCTTCACCTCCTTCAAAGCCCCCAAGAGCTGCAGGTTTCACTCCGTTTGGGTTTTCGAGAGGTGCATGCTTCACTTTTTGGGCTGGGGCTTCACCTCCTTCAGAAAGTCCGAGAGATTTCAACCACATTAGGGCACCCGAGACCTCTCTAGGTTCCAACCACTTTAGCACCTTCCCCAGACCCCCAGCTTCCCACCAGTTTAGGGAACTCGAGACCCCGTTTAGAGACCCCTCCAGAGTACAACAAATATGGCTGCACATATACAAGTATGATATATATATATATATACGTATCATGATTGCTGGATTGGAAGAAACCTAATCCAGACTCACTCTTTCAGCCAGAGCATCACAGCTGCTCAAACGCACCAACTCCTGCTAGTGTTTGAGATCCCAAGACACGCACGGAGCCAGTTCAGACCCATGGAACCAATGACGAAGGCAGTAACACGGTTTCGCTTTGCAGTCATGCTCTTTGGTTATCTTTGCCTGGAAAGGGTGTCATGCTACCTTTGGCCTGGGCAGAAGGCGCCGCCTTCACAGTCTACTGCGCAGCCAGACTGTGTCTTAGACATCAGAATAAGAACTGCAAGGAAATGTCACGCTATGGAGCCCACCGCTACATCTATCGAGTGTGAACAGGGCAATCACCACCAGCCAGGCGCTCAGACGCAACCAAAAGGTTCATCGTTTCTTCTGAACTCGCTGAGGTGATGAGCACCTGAAGATTCACGGCATGACAGCCTCGAACTGAAGTTCTTTCGGATTTCTGGGGTATGCAAAAAATAAAATATCAACAGCTTGTTTGCTTTTTAAGGTCACCAAGCTGAGCCAGCCCTTGGTATGGCAAATGCCAAGCTCGGGCGGTTACTTGCCAGTAAAGCCTGAGCTCCGCGCATACCGCGTAGCAAAGTCTATGTGTCCTTACTGACCAAGGACCAAGCAGAAAAGCAGTAGCAGAAAAGCAGTAATTAGATATCTTTGCCAAGACCTGCATGGAACTAAGACTAGACTCGAATCATTCACTAGCTAGCTTGCACACGCAGGTCAATACCATCAATACCAACATGTCTGCGCAAAATCTCGCGAAAACACTCCAGTCCATGGAAAGCACTCCCAATGTAGACACCCTGGGCTCATGCAACGAGCCAGACGACAGGCAAATAGTTTCATTCCGACAGAAAAGGACGCGTTCAATTCATTTTCACCGCTGCTCTCCAAGCCCATCCAAGCCTCTTGAATCTCGAGAGTGAATGTGCTCGACGCATTTGAAGTGATTGGGTTCAAGCTCCGACGAGTTGCAAATCCGAATCCTTTCCCACAAGGCACAGTCGATCAACATGATCATTGCCAATCACGACCCGCTATTTGTTCAGGAAAGAAAGCTTCAGGGCCAGGCGCTCAAGTATTCCAGCTGCTCGACCAACATTCGCCAAAGAGTGACCCAAGGCATGGATCGTGGCCTGGCAGACGTCCTGTCAGCCTACGCCAAACTGCCGGGAACCACAAAGGCAAAGGCAGGATGCTTCTTATTATGCAAACTCACTGTCGCACACCGTTCAGCTCCTTTTGATTGCAGTTGAAGCAGAGCCTGGGCGGCGGCGAAGATCCATTGACTCAACAGGAGCGCCTGGAGCTCGCCAACCACCCTTTACGCGTACAGGCACCTTGGAAGGCGTGCTCTCAAAAGAAACCTTCACTCAATATACCACAGGCTCGCGAAGCTGCAGACAGAATCGCACGACGCATTCTCGAGGCCAATGTTTCAAGTCACGACACCAACCACCTCCATGCTTTGCAGGCGTTCACCGAAGACAAACCGCAGAAAAGCCTCAAACAGCTGATGAGAGAAGTCCTGACCTTCATTCGGGTCGACGCCTCAGATTTCCAACAACAAATGTTCAGTCGCATGTCCCTTTTCAAGACTCCAGGTTCCACCTCTTCAAACGGACGTTGCAGAACAACTGCAGAATGCGCTCTCCAAGCAGGCAAAATGCAGCACCGAATCTCAGTCTCAACAAATAACTTCCGAAAGGTCAAGATCGGCAAAGCACCTCACGCCGAACAAGTGCCGCTACCACACAACCTGCTGACGAACAGGCACTGCGTTTCGTAACGAGCACATGCACAAGACAATCAGATGCCCTTGTCAGGTGCAAAAGAAGAACCAGCTGCGCAAGAGGAAACACGGCCGTTTCGTTCCAGCACACCACCACGGCGGACGACTGAAAGCCAAGAATCGCTTCACCGAAAGCTTGAAAACAGCGCGTTCTCAGACGTTCTCCAACCGAAGGATACAGCACTGCATCACTGCTGCAAATTCTGTCAAAAAGTGTTACCTGCATAACGCCTGACGAAGCACTCCAACAGAGCGATGCGTTTTCCAACTCGGCAATTAGTTATCGGTTTCGGCTCCTACACTTCTGTGTCAAGTGCCCTATACTCGGAAAGGTTTCTTGCGCGCCCCACAATGTGCTCAAACGGGGCAGAAGCTGCGAGACCTCCAGGTTCCAACCACTCTACGACCCAGAAAACCTCGACGTTTAGAACTCCCGAGACGGAAAGCTTCAGCCAGATTTCCAAAAACTCCAGGTTTCACCCCCCGAAGCTCCAGATTTCCGCTCCTTTAGGGCCCCCCAAAGCTTCACCTCCTTTAGGGCCCCGAGAGCTCCAGGTTTCACCTCCTACCTCCGGGGTTCACCTCCTTCAGAGCGCCCGAGAGCTCTAAGCTTCACCTCCTTTAGAGCCCTTGAGAGCCTCCAGGTTTCACCAGACTTCACCTCCTCCAAAAAAACCTTGTCTTTTAGAGCCCCGAGTATACTGTGCCCCCCCCCTCCCCCCGCCCCCCACCCCCAAGCCTGAGCACCAGAATATGAAGGGGTCCTGTTGGCTTGTTCTCAGGGCGTATGAGACAAAAGCAGAAACGTCAACGCACGCTTGCTCCCTGCAGGCACATGGAAACATGGACATCGACCGCCTATTCTACGAAGCGCTTTCAGCTCAAAACCCAGAAGCCATACCCTCAGCACACGCCTCGCTATGGCGATGGATGCCGTCATCTTCCTCAAGTGGACGTTCGCCTATGAGCACTTTGCAGGCAGGAGCTTCCACTAAGAAGTGAAGTTATGCGCTGGCCACTGAAGCAGTCCGTGCCAACAGGATCTGGCGAGAGCCGCAGCCCCGTGTCCACTTGCAACATCGTGTCGTAGCAAGATCCAGATTGATTCAATCAACGTCTTCTGCATGAGGCCCGCAACGGAAAAGTGAAATGCTTCACCTGTGCGCTATCATTGCTCCAAGGACCTCGCTGAGGCCCGGATATTTTGCGTTTACTACTTACATCTACAATTACGTATTCACTCAAAGCACAGCACCCAAACTATGCTACACCAGAGGCGTGTTGTCTTCAAGACGTCCACCCACAAGCTGACTGATTTGCACGGCAGCTGGGAAATCAGACAAGTCGCTGGCTTCGCAGTCCTTGAAGTGAGCTTCAACTGCCGTGGCTGTCGTGGACGTAACGTGTGGCTGGCGTTGACGGCAGGCTCGCGCCATACACTGTCTCTAGGTCATGACATCTCGACGAGTCCTGCTGACTGCCATCAGGACCTGAAGGTGTGTTCTTCGGTCCGCATCGCAACGGATGGGACTATGTGAAGATGACAACCATATCCATTGACTGGCTTAGCATCCCCACAACTATGGCTCTCGAGTGGAAAGGATTTCTGGAAAGTCAGAATCGCCCACAGTAGCGCAGCCGGATAACACGCATTGGCGGCGTGGCGGCAGCAAAAAGAGTTGAGACGCTTGTGGGACCTCGACGCTCCAGGCTACCTCTCGCACATCCGATTCGATGCTCAAACGGAGCAGGAGCCATAGAACCGAACCATAGAACAAAGCGCCTAGAACCCTCTCGAGCTACCACCAGCCATGGCAGCGCATTACGACAGCGATTTTTATCAGGCAGTGGTATCGAGTTTCATGAAAGCAGCACGCGAAATCCCATCGCGCTTCGCGATTCAGCAACCGTTAAACCAAGAGCTCGCGCCTGCCGATGCCACCAAGAACATTCAGGCGCTGTCGCGCCACATGCGCCTTGGTGAGTCAGATGCCCAGTGGCTGATGTACCTGGCAACTCAACTTCAGGCAAAAGTTGGGCCTTCCATGCTGTCTCACTTTTGGCTACTGAAGCAAGACATCGTTTCGGCAGAAGAAAGACACAGAAGACCTCGAGAACCATCGCCTTTCAGCCTGCCGCCGGCCACGGCACAGATCCTACAAGCACAAACTCAAACGTGTCGTTCGTCAACGTCAAGACACAGATCGAGATCTACCAGTCCATGATCGGTCGCGCCAGGGCCTCAATTAAACAGCTCATGAAGCCGTTCAAGAAGGATAACAATGCAGGTATGCAGGCCCTTGGAGGAAGATTACAAAGCCCCGGAAAAACCCAATGCCAAATATTCCACGAACCATCGAACCAACCAAGGACATGCAGACGTCAACTCCTGCAAAACTTGGAGCGTGCTGACGCACCGCACTGTCAGAGAGCCTGTACTCAAGTTCAAGTGCGAGAAAAAACAACGAGACAGCACTTACCTACATCGCTCAAGCAAATCCAACCGCCGGCCCCAGCATGCACAAAGCAGGACGGCAAAGCAGACTGAAAATTTGCAGTTTCGTTCGCAGCGACGGCTCCGCAGATAGGAACAGACCTTTCCAAAACCCAGCCACAATCTAGACGAGCATCCCAGCCATGGCGCTCTCGCAGACCACGATCGTGCAGAAGAGAAAGCGCTTCAGCGCAAGCAACATCACCCCGTCCAAGGTGAGCCGCACCACGGATCCCAACAACGACACAGACGGCTCGGAAATCATCGTCGCGGTAAGGAACTGGGGCAGCGCCTTCAACGTCTTCGAGGGCCTGACTCGAGACGATCCGCTCTGGCAGCTTCAGGTCATCCACGGCGGGCGCAACGCTTTCGGATACCAGGTACTGGCAGTGGCCAGAGAAGCGCTGCTGAAGCACCCCAACAACAACATCCGAGACCTCCAGCAACTGGAGTCCGTCCTGCACGTACGCCTCCTGAACGGAGCACCTCCTCACACCGGCGCACTGGACCCAGATGGCACCGGCATCGAAGCATGGCAAGTCGTGCTGTATGCGAGCTCCGTGACCAACGCCCTGGACTTCATCCATCTCGTGCTGAAACACAAGGTGGCCAAAGGACAGCTGCTGCAGCTGCCCAACATGACCGTCGCGTGCCCAGACGGAAGCGTCGAGTCCGTCCCAGAACCATGGACACTGAACACCAATCCTCCGCACTGCCCGAAAGCCTTCGCAGTCCTTCCACCCCGTGGACGCCGTCACGTACTCTGTCAAGTGGAACTCTCCGGCTCCAGGACCACAACAGCGAGCAGCCAAGATTCAAAGGAAGAGCCCGAGCCGATCACCGAAGGGGAGGACAAGAACAACGCAAGCACACTCTACACCTTCAGCTTCTTCGGCGGCATCTACTCCTACCGCGAACTGTTCGACGCGGCCAACGTCGAAGGCGGCTACAACGTGGGACCCGAAGGCAATCGAGACTACGTGCGTACCCTGGAGGTGATGAACAACCAAGAAGGAAAAGACAGGCTGATGTCTCTGCACGAGCAAGTCCTGTTGAACGTGCCCATCTACCTGGTAGACGCCACCGAGAAACCCGACGACGAGTTCGTCGCCTGGTTCACAAGCCTGCCCCACGTAGAGCTCGGAGAGAGAGCCAGCTCGTGAGCTGCAGAAAATGTTCACAAATCAAGAGAGAGGCGCGGCAAAATGCACAGGCCCGCGCCCCGCCGTGAGCTGCAGAAGACGCTCACACATCAAGAGAGGCGTGGCAACATGCACAGGCCCACGCCCCGCCTGCATTTGTAAAAGTACGTCCCGAGTATACTTTACAAACGCCCCCGACACGCGAAAGAAAGAAGCATCATGCAAGAAGCACAGGCCGCTTGTCAGAAACGCCCTCGCATGTCTCATACGTTCACAGCAACGGCGCATGCTACACCCGCAGCTCATTGGCTTACTTGCTTGTCAAGACCGCCGCCTTACACCGCGCCTGTGATCATCGAAGACATGTCGGCGACCCGCAGCACTGGCTTCGGTCCGACGCCTGCAACTAACAGCATTATCGACGCTTTCAAGAAAGCTCCGCAAAAAGAGCTCACATCTGGAACGTTCGCAGAGAACACGGCCGCAGCCAACAACAAGAACGATGGCAACAAGGTCATCTCCGTACTGAGACCCTCTTGCGTACCTCACCTTCTACAGCACCAAGCCTGCCAGGACTGTCCCGCGCGCGCGGCAACCACTGCATCGATGACAGCGCCGGCAGCGAGCACGAGAAGCAACGAGGCAATGCCGTAGGCAGCAGCTTATAGGTTGAAACCGTGGTCTGTGCCCGACAAAACAAACTAAGAAAGACAGCCGATTCAGCCTGCAGGCCGGGCCAGCAGCTTTTGTTTGATCACAAACACAGGCCGAAGAAAAGTCGACCGAAGTTCCGTCGACTCCACGCGAGGATCTTCGACGAGAACCACCAAGCAACAACGACCACGCCATGCCACAGGCAGGGTCCGAGAAACATGCAACCAACTGAACTAAGCCGCCGTCCCAACAGCACCTCCTCTCAGAAACGCTCGAAGGTCGAAGAAGACACATCGGAAGGCGGCTTGGCATCATCGGAACCGCCTGCGGATGCAAAGGCCAGGAAGTTTCGCTTCGCGTCTGTCGACCTATTGGACACCTGGAATTACCATGCGCAGGCTCCAGAAAAGAAAGCTTCCATCGAGAAGAATCATGAAGGAACAGGAGATCAGGCCACGCAAAAGGCCCCCATTCCTTATCTGGGAGAGCGAATAGGGTGCATGTCAACAGCACCTCGCCCCACAAACATTCGAAGGTCGAAGGAGAGACGTCAGAAGCCCACTTGACCCTTGCAGAACAGCCTGCGTATGTGAAGGCCGGGAAGTTCCGCTGCATGTCTGCCAACCTGTCGCACCCGTGCGCAGGCTCCGGAAACGAAAACCTGCATCGAGAAGGAGCGTCAAGGAACAGAAGATCAGGCCAGAGGACCACCTGCGGATGTGAAGGCAGGGAAGTTTCGCCGCATGTCGGCCAACCTGTCACAGGCTCCGGAAACGAAAGCTTCCACCGAGAAGAAGCACCAAGGAACAGAAGATCAGGCCACACAAGAGGCCCCGATGCCTTGTCTGGGGGAGCGAATCATGGTCATCAAAGAGCCATGGTTGCAACTCATCCTCAACAAGCTGAAAACGATGGAAATTCGACGCAGTCCCGCCGAACCGGGAAAGACATGGCTGGCATTCGATGGCCAAGTGTTCGGCGCGGCATACATCTCTCACTGCGTCCAGATCACACGTGAGGAGTTCGAAGCCACCAGGGAGCAGCACCAACACTTGGGAGACATGCCCCCCCACGCAAAGGTCTACGCACTCACGCTGCAGAACATCGTCCGACTGGAGTCGCCGGTCCCGCACTACCGGCCGCCAACGACAGCACCCTGGACGATCTTTCGCACCGAGCCTGCCGAGAAAGTCAGAGGGCCAAAAAGGAAGAGAGCCCTCCAGGCCTCACAAGAAGGGTCTTCAGTCCTGCCGATTCAGGGCATGACCCTCCACGAGACCCCGTCAGAACAAGAAGCAGGAAGTCCGACCTGCTCCGTCATCTCAACGCCAGACAAGGATGGCGAGAAAGACGAGCCCACGGCCAAAAAGCAAGATGCGAAGGACAAAGACAAGGAGAACGAGTCCTGAAAAGGCGTGAGGGCAATGCTTTCACGCTCCTGACCACGAAAAACTGAAAGAGCCAAAAACACGGACCAGTTTCAAACCAACCAGAACATGCATGTCGCGAGAAAAACAATCCGAATCGGCACTGCTGCAAGCAGCCAGCGGTTGCACGTTTTTTTCTTCCGAAAGCCATTCTCATGGGCCGCATGGTACCAGACGCAGAGAAGCCACTGGCTCAAGCCAAGCTCGCAAAAAGTTTCCAAGCACCATGCGCCGATCCATCAAGTCGATCCGCGATGCAGAAAGCACAGGCGCCGAAAGAATGACATTCTCGCACGCAACGCATGCTCTTCCTGTGCTCACTGAGGTCAGGAGGACAACATACGCGAGGCATACCAAGCCTTCGGCGATACTACGCACGCCATAAAGATTCGACCAAAATGGCTGCGAGAAATACTCTCAGGCACCAGGAGTTTTTCCCCTGCACTCATGTTTCCATGCTAATTCCGAAACTGCTGCAAGTACCCACAGGAACCAAAACCGTGGAACTGCGACCAATGCGCTGTCCGATGAGCCTGCTCATGACGAAGATCAGCTTGATGGAAACAGGCACCAAGCTCATCCGAGGGACAGCATTGATAGGCAGCTCGCGTCATCTCACAAAAGACGAAAAGAGCCGGTTCTCCAACATCTTGCAGGCCAGGAGCTTGTTGCGGACATGTGCAAAATATCATGGGGTTTGGGAATCTTGGCTGTTCAGGAGCTCAACTACAACCCCAACAAGACCTACGCATGGACCTCACAGGAGGTGCAAGAACACTCCCATCACTTCCAGGCACGCCCTGTCAAGCAAAGGCAAAAAAAACTACCCGGTCCTGACCCAACACACCGGTGCGAGGATCAGTGGTCTGGCTACGACGTGAGCATTGAGCAGAAATGACAGACCGGCAACTCCAGGTGTCAAGAAGCCGGAGAAAACGCAAACATGGCGAAGCGACTCCGTTGTAGACAAGCTTGACGGCAAAAAGCCGAAAAAGGGAAGCGCCGTACAATGCTCTTTGAAGGCTCATCTGCTGCGCCTTCGATATACTAGAATTTCATACGGCAGAGAAAGGTTTAGAAACCTCAAAACGGCACACAGATAGGTCCCCAAATTCTGCAGCATTTTCTGTCTACTCAAGCAAACACAAGCACGTGCTCCCGGGCTCCCAGGATCCGCCGCCAGAACATGGCCCAACATGTGCCGAAGAGCCCGACTGCCACACCGAGCCGCCAAAGCCCAAGAGGAGTGGAGCCACCAGTCAAAATCGGATCAGTCGTTGTGTCACTGCCCTCTGGCCGAAGCACAGACATAGAGGTGTACCATGGCACAACAGTACGAGCTTTGGCCATGACAGCTTGGCGCCGACTAACCACAGTCCCTACCTTGTGCCCTGCCGAAGCGCACTTCACGGTGGCAGATTTCGAACTCATGGGCAGAAGCCAGCCGAATCTCGCCCTCGTGAGCAGCGACGGTGAACGCTTACATCTCGACAGCGCCTTCTGGAACTTCGTCCGACCAGAAATGACACTCACCTTGGCTCGAAACTTAGCACAATCGGAGCCGCCAAGCCCTCTCGAAAAGTCCCCAAAACAGCCCGACCGCCGTTAAGGTGCAAACATCACGCCAGACGGCGCCAGAAGTGAGCGAGAAAACAAATTCGACGACCGCATAAGGGGACTAGCCTTTTTCCTTAGCCTGAAGACTTACTTCTGCTGCAGAGCTCAAAAGCAGAAGTGCTGCATTCCAGAGCACCCGGGCATTTGAGAGCACGGCGGGTCATGTTCCTCAACAACTGGCCAGGTCAACAGAATCTCCGCAGCAAGTTGGCTCCAAATTGAACAACGTGCGCATCCATATGCTGCCCTAGCAGCGCCAGGACATGGCAAGATCTCAGTTGCCCGCCAACGTTTGGATGAACGTGCTCGATTTCGCAGGCGCACAGCACACCATGATCGTGACGGAGGACCCGGACCTACCCCAGGACCCGGAAGACTGGCCCAGAGCCCTCGGAATATGCAAGGAACTGCAAGAGTCGAATATCGTCGAGGACTGCATTTCAAAAGTGCTGATCTGCGAAGATTGCGGAATCCAACACAGGATCGTCGTCCTGACAGCCAACAGGTGGAACTTGACCAGCTCGCGAGCTTTGATGGCAGTCAACCGCAGCACAGCTAGCAGCTTTCATCACCAAGTCGCGCCCAACAGCAGCAACGCGCACCCCAACCCCAGCTGCTGGATCAAGATACACCGCGTCGGTCAGGATTACGTGCAGCTCGAGATGCCGGTCCAGAAGTTTCACACGCTGAAGTGGTCGTGGATTCTTCCAGGAACCATTCCCTGCACCTCGCCTCCTCCAAGCATCCGATTCGTTTCGCTCTTGAAGGACTACACCATAGCCAAACAAATTCGGCATCACAAGCTCTGATTTCCGGGCACCCGTTTAAAACAGCAAGAGCGAGCTGAGCATGACTGACAAGAGTCGCGCACTTGCAACGAGATAGTGGTAGGAAGTAGCGAGAAAAGCCAGGGAACTGCAGGCAAACGCTGACTACCGCGCGAAAAAGAAGGCTGCGCTTGTGCAGAGATTGCATTATCACATCAGTTTACCCATGGGCAATGTTGTCACGGCATTTGAGCGCATCTTTACCAGTCACAACATCCCAAAGCAGAGGGCTCGAGAAGTCCCATCTGAGACAAGCCTGCGGCCGACAATACTGCGCGGCACGCCGAGACCCGAATGCGGGGAACCTACAGGCTACGAGATCACATCACAAGCAGCGTCAGTCCCGATCGAGTTCAACGCCGGTCTAGAAGCCCTGCGAGAGACCACGGTCCGGCAGCAGTTCCCTCCGCGACAGAAGTACGGGAACTCCAACAGCAAGTCCGGCATCTCACAGCCTGCGTTCAAGCCTTGCAAGAAGCAGTGACCTTACTCAAGACAGCCTTGCGTCAATCAGCCGAGTCAGCCTAATTCATGCACGTACAACACCTTCACGTGAAAGGCGTGACAATCAACTTGAAAAACCCCAACGAGCAGCTCTCAGCCGGCAAAACCTGCGCCCAACTGCTGCCAAAACGAAACGCATGTGGAGCCAAACGTTGCAGCGAGTAGAAAACTACGACCCCCGTCAGTGCCAAACTGCAAATCAAACCAGCGTGTGGCCGCAACACGGGCTCAAGCCGGAACCAACAACAAAGCACGCATCAGTGAACAAGCATAGAGTAGCGGCAGCTCCCATGTCGACCATCGACTACTCCAAGTGGGAGAAACTCCAGGAAGGCAGTGACGAAGAGGTGTTTCAGAAACCGCTACCTCCGAGCTCACCACGACAGCCCATCAAAGTCGGACCGTTCGCAGTGGCCAGCCCTCGCCTTCCAGACGATCCTGCAGCACGCCGCGAAGTTCTTCGTGAACAAAAAGAGCTTCGCGATTTCGTGCGGTTGCATCCCTGTCCCGCAGAAGCAGACCTCCACGCATGGCTTCGCAGGATGCATGAGCACTCCAAGAAGCCACAAGTGAAACATGACACATTTGCCTGGGTCATGCGAAACATGGAATGGGACTCGCAACACCTTGCATGGTTCCACTACCCCTCCTTTCGCGTTCTGTGGGAGTCCGCCACTTTGGCACCGAGCACTGCCTTCGCCGGCCAACGCAGCGCTGGCATTACGTTGTACGAGCGCGGGGGCAAACCCTGCATGCAGTTCAACTTCTACGCCCTGCATCACGCCATGGCCGGTGAGGACTTTCACGCGAACGCACCCTTCCCAGTCTACACCTTCGCAGGCGACATTGAAAAGGTCTGGGACGGCATCGGATCGTGGTGGGCATAGAGGACCACAAGAAACAGAACAAGAAGCGAAGAAAAGCAAGAAACAGGCACGCTGCAAGTGCGCGAGCTGTCCACCCAAGGCCTAAGAAGCACCGCAACCACCATTTGCATGCGAAGCAAGGTCAACGCATTTCCGAAGCATACCGGCTCGAGCAGCGTAACTACGTGAGCGGTCAGTGGCAAACAACGCGCCAGAAGCTCAGACACAGAAGAATGCGAGAGCATCATGACGCGATGTGCGGCAGTATGAGTCAGATGCATGCCTAGCGGTCTATAGCTTCAGATTACCATCTCGAATTCGGCCGTACAGATCACAGCACCTACTTGCCCAGGACTACTTTCGCGAGCTGCTCAACGCGGCCAACGTCGAGGATGGCTGCATTGTGGAACCCCAAAGAAAAATAGAGACTACGTGCGTACCGTGGAAATGTGCAACAACTAAGGAAGGGTAAGAGAAGCTGACGTCCCTGCCCGAACACATATTGCTGAACATTCACAGCTATCTGGCGGAGGCCGCCGAGAATTCCCACGACAAGTTCGTCGCCTGGTTCACCAGCCGGTCTGACATGTAGCTGTATCAAGTAAAGCACAGCAAAATGAACAGGACAGCGCCCCGCTTGCAATTTTAAGTACTTGCCGACGACAGAAGTGCCAGCTCAACCGGAACGCGAGAGAAAAGACTCCAAGATGCAAATGCGTGTCAGAAGTGTCCAGACACGTGCAGACACTCACGGAACAGCGTGCAAAGACGAGCCTGCAGCGCGTTTGCTCATTGAAAAGCGCATCCACTCAAACCTCTCCTGCGACCATCCGAGACATGTCAGCGACAGACACCAGGCCTTTTGGACCGACTCCTGCGACCAACTGCATCATCGACGCTTTGAAGAAAGCTCCACAGCAGCATGACGGAGCCGGTAAGGTCACGGTGCCAGCGGTCAACGACGGCCAGGCCATCAGCTGAACCCAGAACCCGGTAGTTCACCTGCTGCACGGCCGCTGCCGCCCCTGTCAGGACAACTCCGCACAAGCGGCAACCGCTACATCCACAAAGGCACCGACTACAAGCTCGACAAGCAAACAGGCTTTCAACAAATCCACTATTAGGTACAAAGGCGGAAAATCCAGGATAAAGATATGCAGAGCATCCAGGTTTAAGCTGTTCCCATAGTTTCTACTCAACACTCGCAGGCCGAAGAGAAAGAAGAAGCAATCAAAGTTCCATCGGGTTCGCGCGATGATTCTCGGGCGGCTAAATCAAAAAGCCATCGCGCCTTATCAGAGGATCCGGGTTACCGAAAAATAGAATTACATGCTAACATTCCGGATTTGATGCACAAGACTGTTGTATTCCTGCTCCATCACAGACAAGTCGGAAAGGATGTGTTGGATGCCGACCTAGAGCTGATGGAGAAGCTCCTGTCAGAGACATCGACGGATGCAAAGGACGGGAGATTCCGACTTTTCTTTTGACCTGCCAGACACCGCGACCCTTGCCCAGGCTGCTGTCGACGAAGAGCATCCAGAACCGGGAGAACGGAACACGACGCAGCCGTGCATGCCACGTCCAGGAGAACGAATCATGGTCCTCCAAGAACCATGGCTGCTGCTCATCCTCAACAAGCTGAAAACAATGGAAATTCGACGCGCTGCCGCCGAGCCTGGAAAGACATGGCTGGCATGCGAGGGTCGAGTGCACGGCGCGGCAAAAATCTCCAGCTGCGTCCAAATCACACACGAAGAGTTCGAAGCCACCAGAGCGCAGCACCGACACCTGGGAAACATGCCGCCCTACACCAAAATCTACGCGCTCAAGCTTCAAGACATCGTCCGACTGGACGCGCCGGTGCCATACTACCGACTGCCAGCAACAGCGCCGTGGATGGTTTTTCGAGCAGGACCTGGCGAGAAGAGAATCAGAAGCTCCAAGAGAAAGAGAGCTCTCCCGGAAGAAGATGCAACCCTGCAGATCCAAGACACCCTCCTCGATGGCGCAACTTCGGGAACGCGATTACCAAGTCCGGCTCGCAAGGATGACGAGGCAAATAGATGAGCCAACGACCTACAAGCAAGATGCCAAAGAGACAGGCCGGGAACAAGCACGCTGAAAGATGTGGGAGCCAACGAGGCTTCGACCAAGCTTTCTCACGCCTGACTCCGCCTGGCTGTGCCCAGGCGCAGCAGGAAAGCAGTCCCGGAGCTTTGTTTCAAGCGTGACAACAGGCGCGCGCAGCTGAAAAGAAGGTGCGGTGTCCACCGAATTCGCATCACCTGCCACGACTGCCGCGAGCCAATAGGCTCGAAGCAAAGCGCGCGAGCAATAGCAAGAAAACCCGCCGCCGCCATGGACATTGCTTCAGGAAGACGAGCTTGGGCAGACATAGAGGCGGCCTTGCACAGTTCTGGCGCACGCGTGAAAAGATGCAATTCCGCTTGCAGGACACGGGCGACTCCGAGGAGAGACAACTTACACCAAAATCACAAGTGTAGCAGACCTACCAAGTGCTCACCAAGCGGTGCGTCGGCCACAACATGCGCAGGAAGGGCCATCCAGATCGCCAACGCGACAGAGAAGCACAGGCAGCACTGTGTCAAACTCCGTAATGCACTGCAAATCTTTTCGTTTCTCTTACTTCGAGCAACCGCTTCCTGCCTCTCTCTCTGCCTTGCCTGGTTTTACGGCGCACAAGCATACCCAGGCGCAACAGTATTATGGTGCCCAAGCACGCCCAGGCGCAACAAGCACTACGTCAAGGAAGACCAAGAGCCGCAAGAAAAACAAGAAGAAGCCGCCTGACCTTCCCAGCACAGAAACAGAGAATCAGACCAAAGCACTGCTGGAGAATTCCATGCTTGCAGCCTGCGCCACAAGACTGGAGCTCAGTTGATGTACCAAAAAAAGAGCATGTGGCGCAAGTTATGATCAAGAGGTACAGAGGAACCATACCAAAGCTGAGGCGACATTCGCCTACACCTGGAACTGCAAGATTTCGTGCAGTCTGCAATGTCTCACAGCTATCAGCCCATTTTCCTACGCAACTGGCAAGCGAGTCTGCAACGGCGCTGCCTTCTGCATCGCATGCCATGTCAGTTGTGGCACGACTTCGTCTACAATTGGCAGCCACCAGAAACAGAACAACAAGCAACCATGCACGACAGGGCATACCAACACGCACAAAGCATGAATTGCGATTTGCAGGTCTCTGGGGGTTCGGCACCAACTGCCCGTGTGCTGGAGCTGCCTTTTCAAGCCCAGACACCCTCAACTTTGATATTGTTCGTAGCAAATGGGCCAGCGCAGTGCTCGGCACAACCGCTGAAGCAAACATACAGAGTTTAATCCCTAGGTAGCCGACCAAAGAAGTGCGCAGAGCAAGAAAAAGAGCACCCAAACAGGCCTCCACCGCAAGCGTCGTCAGCCAATTCTCTCTCACAAATGTACACACGCAGCCCTGACCTATCGAACGAAAGCAGAATTGCTCTAGCAGATTTTAGCAGCGCCCGCCATGACAACATTGCTAGCCTGTCTTGGCACATACCACCTCAGCACGCTCATCCGAGACATGCTGCAAGGAGACGAAGCGCTGCTCTTGTTGCAGCTCACAAACTTTCCGGAGATGAAGCAAATCGACTGGGCGCGCCAACTGCGAAAGGCCACGGCCGAGATTCGCGACGTCATGCACCCTCTCAAAACCATCCAGCTACGATTCCCAGGCTTATGCCTTCCAGCGACCATCAGATGCAGCAAACTGGGAGACCGATCAGACCCAATAATGAGCCATGGCTACGCCGACAAACTCATGCGTTGGTTGCAGAACAACGCTTTCTCGGGCCTCACTCCCAGCGAAGCGGTCCGGGTGATGAACGCCTGGGAAGAGAGCCGAAAAGACGCTGGAGCCAGACTGAGCGACTTCCTCCATCAAGCAAAAGCCAAATTCTACTACTCGTGCGGAAGCAACGAGAACTGGCCTTGGAAGTTAGAATACAAAATAATTGTATGTTTCGAGTACCAAAGCATCACAGGAATCATTGAACTGCAGCAAGAAGAGATACGATAACATGATGAACAATTGCAATTGTGCCCTCGTATGACGCCAGAAGACGGAATATCGTTTCACCAGCCAGTCGTGACAGCAAGGAACAGACACAAAAGAAGGAGCCCTCGCGCACAGAGTAACATGCAAAAGATCGATCAGCAACACTGTCCTGTTACCACAAAACGGCACCGCGCCAGCCACGCAAGGCCAAGCGAGAGAAGTTTTGCACCATCGGCGCCTGCGCCATGGCCACGCTGCTTACCTGTCTTCGCACAGACTGCTACAGCACATTCGTTGGCAACATGCTGGAGACCGAGGACGCCCTGCCGCTGCTGCAGCTGGCCAAGTCCCCGGAGCTGAAGCAAGTCCGATGGGCACGCCGCCTGCGAGAAGCCACAGCCAGAATTCGCCGCGTCATGGACCCTCTCAAGACCACCCAGCTGCGATTCCCCGGCTTCGCGTGCGCTGGGACTATTAGCTGCAGAAAGCCGCGAAGACATCCGACGCAGCGACAAGCATCCAAAACTACCTAATCCTTATGGCTTGGATGGAAGCAAACGACTTCGCTGGCTACACGCCCAGCGAAACGGTGCTGATGCTGAACGCCTAGCCCAAAAGCACCAGAGACACAGGGGCAGGACTCAGCGACTTCCTCGAAGAAACAAACACTGCGTTCTACTACATGACCAACTTCCAGGAGCGCGGAAAGTTCAGAGCAAACATGTGCACAAAGACTTGGTGTTTTTTCAAGTACGACGGTCTTGCAGGTGTCCTGGAAACGCAGGACACAACACCTTGACCCGTCGAGCCAGAAAAAGCCGACCAAATAAGACATGATGAACAGAAGACCGGAGACCGCGAAGACAAAGGACAGGAGGACCCAAACAGATTTCCACCGCAAGCGTCATCCGCCAAGATCTCTCACGCAGTCTTCCTCTCTCTCTCTCTCTCTCTTTTTGTCTCTGTCTCTCTCTCTCTCTCTCTCTATTTCTACCTCGCGACCAATGTACACTAGCAGCCACGACCTATCGAGCGGAAGCAGACTTGCTCTAGCAGATTCGAGCAGCGCCCGCCATGACGACATTGCTAGCTTGCCTTCGGACGGACCACTACAGCACACTCATCCGAGAAATGCTGCAAGCAGACGAAGCACTGCTCTTGCTCCAGCTCGCAAACTTGCCGGAGCTGGTTCAGATCAAATGGGCACACCGGCTGCAAAAGGCCACTGCGAGGATTCGCGGCGTCATGGACCCTCTCGGAGACATCCAGCTGCGATTCCCGGGCTTCTTCCGTCCAATGACCATCAGATGCAGAAAGCGCGGACACCGATCAGACCCGATAGTGAGCCAGGACAACGCCGAAGACCTTCTGCGTTGGTTGAAGAGCAACGATCTCGCGGCCTTCACTCCCGGCGAAGCGGTCCTGGTCATGAACGCCTGGGAAAAGAGCCGAAGAAGCGCTGGAGCCAAATTGAGCGACTTCCTCCAAGAAGCAAACGCCGAGTTCTATTACTCGTACAGATTCACCGGAAACTGCCCTTGGAAGATACGAGCAAGAGTAATTGTGTGTTTCGAGCACCAAAATCTCGTCGGCTTCATTGAACTGCATGAAAAAGAATAAGAAAAAATCAATTGTCTCTGTATGGCAGCGTCGTCTCACACCAGCCGGCCGTACGAGTAGGGCAGGGGACAGACGCAGGAAAGCAGCCCTCACGCAGTTCGAGCAACAACGAAAAGCGGTGCTGGAGGGACATCAGCAAGCTTGTCCTGTGGCCACGCAACTGTGCCGCCAGCCACGTGACATCAAGCGGGTGAAGTTTTTTGCCTCGCCATGGCCACGCTGCTTACCTGCCTTCGCACAGACTGCTACAGCACAAGCATTCGCAACATGCTGGAAGCCGACGATGCCCTGCCACTGCTGCAACTGGCAAAGGCGCCAGAGCTGAAACACGTCCACTGGGCACGCCACTTGCGAGAAGCCATAACCAGAATTCGGGGCGTCATGGACCCTCTGAAGACCACCCAGCTGCGATTCCCAGGCTTTGTGCGCGCCGTGACCATCAGCTGCAGGCGCAGAAAAGGATGGAAGACATCCCGCCCAGTGATAACCATGGAAAACGTCCAAAACCTGATGGGTTGGATGGACGACAACGACTTCGCCGGCTACACGCCCAGCGAAACAGTACTGGTGATGAACGCCTGGCCCAAAAGCACCAGAAACACGGGGGCAGAACTGAGCGATTTCCTCCAAGAAGCAAACGCTGCTTTCTACTACATGATCAATTTCGAGGAACCGCCGCCCAGCAACCGTAGAGCAGGCAGGTACATAAAGACAGTTGTGTTTTTCCAGTACAAAGGTCTTGCAGGTGTCCTGGAAATGCAGGATGCAGCGCCCTGACCAGTCCACCGCCGGAAAGAACATCTCTGATGACGACAACATGCACGAGCACTTCGTGCTGCTCACACACTGCATCAAATATCGCTGCAAGCGTTTCGGCTCGAAGCCAAGCAAGTTTTGCGGAAGCACGAGACACAATAAGGCATGCTGCACTTCCGAAAGATCAATGGCGAGCTAGTTTGCAGCTGTGCCGCCGACGCCTGCAAACCAACTGCCGACGACGAGGGCGTCTTGGAGGCTTTCCGCAAGTACCTGCACAAACATGAAGGCGCCCCGCGCTACAGAGCCCAGTTCATCATCGGCAACAAGAAGATCACAGACAACAAGCAACCGTGGAACAACCTGAGCACGCTGATCGCAAATGAAGGAAGTATTGACGTCCAGATGGTGGTGCCAGACTTCTTGCCCGGAGGCGAGACGAGCTTCAAGCGTGCCATAAAGCAAGGCAACTTGAAAAGAGTCGAGCGCATGCTGGAAAGCTTCGCAGACCCCAACATGCGCATAGACAAGGAGCAAGAATTCCACTCGCAGCCGCTGCAGGTGGCGGTCAGCTTGTGCGAGCACGACATCACAAAGGCACTGCTACGGGCCGAAGCGAACATAAACAACCTGACCGACGACCCGCCCCTGAACATTGCCTGCCGCAACCATGACCTCAGGACGATGCAGCTGCTGCTGCGGTCCGCAGCCGATCCCAACTGCAGAAACAAGCTGGGCGACACTCCGTTGCATGCCTGCGTCTTCCACGGCTCAGCCTCCACGACAGCCCTCCTTCTTCGGTTTCGCGCAAGCATGGCAGCGGAATGCCGTCCCAAAGGGATGACGCCTCTTGGGCTGGCCGTTCAGTGGGGTCTGGCCGAGGCCACGAAGTTGCTACTGACAGGCCAGGCCATGCTGCAGGAGAACAGAGCATCCCACAGCGCTCTGCACGTTGCCGCCGAGCACGGAAACATTCCGTTCATGCGAATGCTGGTACATGCTAGAGCAGACCCCAACGTCACCAATCGTCACGGCGAGATGCCTTCGGACCTCCTGCCCAAGCACACAACTTTTCGAGAACGCTTTGTCTGCAGACGAATTTTGTCTGAGAGAACAGCCGTAGTGCCTCAGTCTCACCTTCCATGCGCACACACGGCGCAGGACTTGAGACAGTTCAAGAGCTTTGCAGACTGAAAAGTGCTTTGCGCAACTGAGCATGCTCATTCAGCCCGTGAACGCCTGGACCAGTCGCAGCAGGCGAGAAAAAACAGAATCAAAAGACAAGAAGCGAGCTCGCAGTTTGGCAGTCGAGCAGGAAAACCTGTCGACACATGCAAATGATGCCTCGAACCCAATTCCATCGCACCCGGCTGTGTTTCGGATCGAAGCAAGCCTGTATTGTTCAATAACCTCAAGTCCAGCCCGCGCAAAAGAAAGATGCTTCACTTCCGGAACATGAACGGCGAGGTGGTCTGCAGCTGCGCCGCAGAGGCCTGCGCGCCCGCAGCCGACGACAGGAGCATGGCCGACGCCTTCCGCAAGTACCTGCGCAAACGAATCGGCGCCCCAAGGTACAGAACTCAGTTCATCGTCGACGGCAAGATCACAGACAACAATCAACCGTGGAGAACCTTGAGCGCTTGCACAACAACCCTCGCCAACCTCGACATCCAGATGGTGGTGCCAAGCTGCGTAGCGGAAGGCCACAAGGAGCTCAAACGCGCAATCAAGCAAGGCAACATGCAAATGGTCAAAAGCGCGATGGAAAGCTTCGCAGACCCCAACATGAGCATAGACATGGTCGAAAGCATGGGTCCCGACGACATGAACATCATGAACATTGACACCCAAGAGATTGACCTCCAACCCGTGCAGCCCCTTCAGCTCGCCGTCTGCCTGAGAGAATACTCGATCACAAAGGTGCTGCTGAAAGCTGCAGCGAACGTCAACAACACAAACAGCAGTCCGCCGGCCTTGAACATCGCCTGCTACAACCACGACGTCAGGATGATGCAACTGCTACTCAGGTGCGCAGCCGATCCCAACCACAGGAACAAGCTCGGCTACACTGCCTTGCACGCTTGCGTCTTGCGCGGCGCAGCCTCTTCAACCGCCCTCCTTCTTCGGTTTCGCGCAGACATGGCCGCCGAATGTTGCTGCGACGGACTGACCCCTCTGGGGGTGGCCATTCAATGGAACATCTCCAGCGCGGCAAGGTTGCTGCTGGCACATCGAGCCATCGTGCACGAAGCCAGAGCATCCCACAGCGCTCTGCACGTTGCCGCCGAGCAAAGAAACACAACGTTCATACGACTGCTGGTAGAAGCTAAAGCAGACCCGAACGCCACCAATCGTCAAGGGGAGACACCGGCGGACGTCCTGCCAAAGCGCCCCTGCTTTCGTGAACGCCATGTCTGCAGGCGACTACTGAGCGAACACCTGTAGTGCTCAGCGCTCAAGCAGCCGTGATAAGAACAGAAAATCATGTGAACTCCTACCACAATGAACAGAACCTTTGCGGAATGACATGCGCTTGCAAAAACATGCACCTCCTGAGCTGCCCGTGTGCATTTGTCAATATCATGTAGTCACACGCAGCAAGCCTGCCGCGGCCTTGACCCCAAACTGTTTGTCAATCACTCATGGCTGCTATCCCCCTGCTCGCATCCCTCAATGCTCGAGGAATCCTTGCAACCAGATTCACGCGCATGAATCTCACACACGTCGACTGTCAACCTGGTGCCGCAGCCAATACTCCAGACAGTAAATCCTTCATCAGTTTCCAGCAAGTAGCTCGCGCCGCCATCCACGCCATGGCGCCCTGCTGCAGTCGATGTGGCAGCATACGCGTCGGCCGCGGCAGAGGCGAGCAATCTCTGTCACTATACCATTTTTGCACGATTCTTCTGTCGCCCAGGCTTCTGCACCAGCATAGAGTGCCGACAAGAAGAGCAACAAGAAAAAGAGAGGGAGAAGCAAGCTGCTACAGCCAGAAGAGCAGCAGCAAAAGTCGGCGCCCGCGGACCCTTGCCAGCCAACTATAGTCGGAACGTGCAGAAACAGGAGCTTCAAGCAGCAAGGAAGAAAGAAGGCGGCGGCACCCGCGGGCCCATGCCAGGCGCAGGAGGTCGCCCAGAGGATGAGGACAGCCGCAGACTGCAGCGAAAGGAGCTGCAAGAAGCGAGGAAGGAAGAAGGCGGCGGCGCCCGCGGGCCCATGCCAGGCGCAGGAGGTCGCCCAGAGGATGAGGACAGCCGCAGACTGCAGCGAAAGGAGCTGCAAGAAGCGAGGAAGGAAGAAGGCGGCGGCGCCCGCGGGCCCATGCCAGGCGCAGGAGGTCGCCCAGAGGATGAGGACAGCCGCAGACTGCAACGAAAGGAGCTGCAAGAAGCGAGGAAGGAAGAAGGCGGCGGCGCCCGCGGGCCCATGCCAGGCGCAGGAGGTCGCCCAGAGGATGAGGACAACCGCAGACTGCAGCGAAAGGAGCTTCAAGAAGCGAGGAAGGAAGAAGGCGGCGGCACCCGCGGGCCCATGCCAGGCACAGGAGGTCGCCCAGAGGATGAGGACAGCCGCAGACTGCAGCGAATGGAGCTGCAAGAAGCGAGGAAAGAAGCAGGCGGTGGCACCCGCGGGCCCATGCCAGGCGAAGGCGCAGGCGGTCGGCCATACATTCCAGAAGATCACAAGCATGGCCCACCATACCGCGACGAAGAACTACTCAGCGATGAAGAAACGCAACGAAAATACAAAGACTTCGTGCGAAGCTGGACCCGGTTCGGTCTCTCTAGAATTTGCAAAACCTGCGGATCCCTGACTCCGTCAAGACACTGCCGACCGACTGGTCCGGCGCAGACCCCGAGTTGTCGAAACTGCCGAGAGAACAAGACAAGGTTCAGACTGCCAGCCTTGCTGCCTGTGCCACCGCCGCTGCAGCAGCTAAAGCCCATCGAGCAGCACCTTCTGGCCATGGCTCGCATATCACAAGTGGTGCTGGACAAGTTGCCTTCAGGAGGACCAAGCGCCCAGTGGGGCAGAATGTACGCCGTACTCATGGAGGATCCGTGCATTTGCGACGTCCTGACTGGCGCAGTCCTGCAAGAAGACGGCACGGTTCAGGTACAAGGCGTTGATGGCCTGACAGAATCTCCTGCCAGGCTAGAGAACCTGCACAGTGCTCTCAACGAACTCCGGACGCTGCACAAGCTGTACACAAACAGTCCCGCCGTGCACGAGGCCATCGAAAAGATGAGCCACATCATGAAGCACAAAAAGACACCCTCCACGACAACCGAAGCCAACCAAGACAGGAAGGAAACCAAGCAGGCAGAAGCAGACGAGGAGGAGGACCAGCAGTTCACCTACCTGGTTCCGAAAGATTTGAAGGTCCCCAGAGCAGACACGACCGAACTGCGTCAAACCAGAAGCAGCGCGGCCTTGATAGACGACATCGACGTGAAGTTCTTCCCGCACCTATTTCCCGAAGGAACTGACGGTTGGAAGCAAGAGTACCAAAGCTTTTCCCAATATGCCAGGAAACGCCTGCTGTCGCAGGACCAACGCTTCGAGACTTCTGCCTCCTACATCATGTGGCTCCTCGAGACACAAATGAAGAAGCGACTTTCCGGCAACGTGAACGTGCGGGTCGGCACGCAGCAAAAGCCAAGAGGATGTCACGGCTATCAAGATGGAAGCCGACGCGTCTACACTGCACTGCGGGACATTCCCGGCACACAGCCATACCTATACGCAAAGAAGGGCATCGCGCTGAACATGTATGAGCAGCTCGGGCAGCCACAGTTCTTTCTGACACTGACCTGCCACGCCCAGCAACCGAGCATCCTGCTAGCAGCCATTTCGGCGCGCTTGTTGCGCCTGAATCCAAACCTGACACCTGCAGAGCTGCTTGGAAAAATTTGCATACAAGATGTTATATGGTTGGTTCACAGTGCAACTTAAAGAAACGTAGCGAAATAGCAACACTTGCTACCCAATCCTTCGCACAACAACGTGAGGCTCGAACATGAGGCAGCTCAACTTCTTCGCAGCTATCAAAAGCCCGACTTCAGATGGGACGGCTTGTCTGCCAATCAGCTATGCAACCAACAACCAGCCGTCGTGGCTCGACAATTCATGCATCAGCTACGGCAATTCCTGCGGTGGATGGCTCCACACATCAACGTGGACAAGAAGATCGATGCCAATGCCGACCCGGAAGACCAACACCACCAAGAAGACGAGGAAGACACGATCAGCGTAGCAGCACCAGCACCAGACACGTCAGGCCAACACCACACCATGCGCAAAGAAACACCACCGTTCCACGTTACCGAGTACATCGTGCGCATAGAATGGCAGAAGCGAGGCTATCCACACGCCCACATCCTGCTGTGGATGAATCCAGCGCCGCCCACGGAGACACCAAACCCCCTACAAGCCGAGGACGTGGACTGGTCAGACGAGGAAGACTGCCGTCGATTCGTGCCAAAGACCGCTGAAGAGATCAGCGACAAATTCATATGCACGAAGTCGCCGGCAAGCTGGCGAGAATCCACCAAAACAGATGCAACAATCAGAGAGGTGAACGCCAAGCTAGCAGAGATGATGATACATCACTGCAGCGCCTACTGCGGCAAATTCGCGCTGGGGGCCTGTCGCTTCGGATTTCCTCGCGGCGAAGCCGACCGTTCACGCAGAAGAGATGCCCAGGAGATGTTCTTCAGTCGGTGGAAAAGCAGTTTAACAGCAAGGAGACAAAAGCGAGACTGCATGATGGGACAGTACAACGCCGCCATGCTACGAATGTGGAGAGCAAGCATGGACTTGCAGGTCATATGTGAGCTCACGAGCGCCAGCCGCTACATACTGGGCTACACGTTCAAGTCCGAGGAAGACTTCATCGCAGCCCGTCGCATGCAAGCAGTCATAGAAAAGCTGGCCACGGAAAACAGCAACCAAGCTCTCAACGCGCAAGAGGTGTACCGAGCCGCACATGCAGCGCTGCAAGGCAGGACAACCTCCACCTTCGAAGCATGCCACTTGCTGCTGGGATTTCCGGTGGTCGAATTCTCCAGAGACAACACGTGGATCCAAGCAGGCCCGCCAGAAACCTGGACACTGTGGGTACCGCAACGAGAAGAAGCCCAAGCGATAAAGCAGCCGGACGCGTACTTCGCAAGCAAGCAAGGACAAGAATGCAGCATGCCCGTCGCCCAACGATGCTACCAGCACTTACAAAAGGCCTTTGCAGAGCAAGAGACCGACGTACCGGTCGAAGGGTCCTCGCCAGTGAAGCGACGATGGAAAGACATCACTTTCTTCGACTTCTGCGCAGGCTTCAGGTTCATCGGCAAAGAATTCCCAGTTCCTCGAAAACGCCCAGCCATCGTGGGATATCGAAACTTCAGTCCGGACCTGGAGCCAGAAGCCTTCTACTACTCCAAGCTGCTGCTGCACTTGACCTGGACGACGCCCGGAGAATGGTTGCGACCAGAAGACAAAAACAGCCACGCCGCAGCCTTCCAGCGAATCGCCCGCGACGACAAGCAGCATCCCACCTTCTTGGAATCCATCTGCTTACCTGCTCTGGATGGCACGGTCGAGGCAGCCCGCAAACTACAAGCAGTTCAAGCCGTCATGTACATGAAAGCCAAAATGGCACCCGCGGACCTCCGAGACGGTTGGTCGCACAGCCGCGCTGACGAGCAAAACTATCAAGATGCCCTCAAGATCATGGAGGCTCTGAGAGAGAGGCACGGAGGGACCATCGACTTTACGGCTCCAGACTTCGTGCCAACCGGCCCCGCAAGCAGCGCTTTCACACCAGTGGAAGGCGGAGAAGAAGCTTTCGGTCTGCTCACGACCAAGAACCCGGACCCAGAAACAGAACGACAACGACAGGCCATGGAGTACATCATTCGCACCGTCACGGACAACCCGAACACCAAAGCCGGCCCCAGCACTCGACGCCTACGTCTCCTTCTGCACGGACCTGGAGGTTGCGGCAAATCAGTAGTGGTGCGCGCTGCTGCCCACATGCTTCGCCAAAGCGGCAAGGGCATAATCATAGCGGCGCCCACTGGCGTAGCAGCCTGCAATGTCAATGGCGTGACCCTACACCAATGCCTCTTCCTTCCGGTCGTGAACCGTAGCCACGGGAAAGCCTGCGACGCTCCGTTGCCGAGGGGCTCGCACCTCGCAGCCCTGCATGAACTCTGGGCACAAGTATCCGTGCTCATCGTGGACGAGATCAGCTTCATCTCCGCCTTCATGTTCGACCGCATAGACCAGCACCTGCGCATGGCCCGCAACATTCCCGACATCCCCTTCGGGGGGCTGCACGTGATCTTCTCGGGCGACCTCTACCAGCTGCCACCTCCAGGAGGCCACCCTTGCTTCTGCAGTTCCCTATGGTGCTTCTTCGAGCTATGCGAACTGCAGGGCAATCAGCGTGCAGCGCAGGATCCAGAATGGGCCGCGCTACTAGCGCGAGTGCGCATCGGCACTTGGACAGAGGGGGACATTCGCATGCTGAGAAGCCTCGTCATCAAGAAGAACGGCAAGCAGCAGCCTGCAACAGAAGCCGTGCACCTCTACGCCACCCGCAAGGCCGTCGCAGAAGACAACCAGCAATACCTAGACAAACACCTAGCCAGCACAGGCAGCCAACTCTACGAGTGCCCAGCCGTGGACATCAGCGTGAGAACGGGCGCGCCATTGCCGCCGGAACTCGCCTGGGCCGAACCAGAGAACACAGGAGGGCTCGAAGCCTTGCTGCGAATAGCAGTAGGAGTCCGAGTCATGCTCCGATTCAACATAGACGTTCGCGACAAGCTCGTCAACGGCGCGTGCGGAACAGTCACCCACATCGACGCCGAGGACACTGGAGAAGTGACAAAGATCTGGGTCAACTTCGAAGGACAAGCAGGAGCTCTCTGGTGCGAAGCAAAAGAAATGCAATCGGTGGCAATAACAAGACGAACAGCCACATTCCAGGACCAAACCGACAGCCGAGCGGAGCGCAAGCAGTTTCCACTCGTGCTTGCCAAAGCCACCACCATACACAAAAGTCAGGCAGCCACATGCCATCAAGGAGCGCACTCTGCACTGGACAGCACAGTCACCCAAGAAGGACAGGCGTACGTCGCGCTTTCCCGCTGTCCCACCCGACAACATTGCACACTCAGGAATTTCAACCCTGCGTGCCTACGATTCAACTCGCATGCAGAATGGGCACTCACGAAACTCAGAGAACAGCAAGCAGAGAAGTCAGGCAGCGAGCTCTGGTGCAAGCTCATGAAACCTCCGCACAACAAAGAATTCTACACCCAACGGCTGGCCAAGCTGCCCCACCCAGACCTCCACAACAACAACAGCCCAGACGACGAACGACCATGGCACTGCCCACGATGCGGCGAAGCCACAGCCCACACCAAACCAGCGATGAATGCACACAAGCGCATCTGCCCGGCAGCGCCACCCAAAGCCAAAGCCAAAGCCAAAGCCAAAGCCAAAGCCAAAGCCAAAGGCAAAGGCAAAGGCAAAGGCAAAGGCAAACCGAAACAAAAAGCCACGAGCAACAAAAGAACCAGAAGCACAACTACGCCACCCGAAAGAACATCCTGCAAACACAACGCGGTGCATTGGCAAACCAGCACGTTACAGGACAAGAAGCGCAAACGAGGCACACCAGACAGCCCAACAAATAGCCCTCCCAGCAAGAAGACGTCAAGCAACCAGACAGACGGCAGGCCATCAGAACAAAGCAACATCTTCTTCGAAGAACAAGAAGGAGCCCGATGCGGCAAGCATGCGCTCAACAATGCACTCGGACACCATTTCTTCGACACCGCAGACATGCAGGACGCGGCCGAAACATTCATATGGGAGAACCCCGAACTCGGTGACGATATCGAAAGACACATCTCACCTGACGGAGACTATTCCATCGAAACCATGATGATGGCATTGCGAACCACGGCAATGAAGAAGTTCGGGCGCCTTTGCTGGCAAATGAGAGACACGCGTGCCACCAGCATCAGAGACCTGGACGATTGCGTCGGAGCAGTGCAGAACCACTACAACCAGCACTGGGTCGCCTTGAGGCGCACCGGCGAAAACTTCCTGTACGTGGACTCTTTGAACCGAGCAAAGCAGGCAACCATCCTCACAACGGAAGAACTAGAAGCCAGACTGCGCGCCCATCCAACATATGCGATTCGCGAGATTTGACAATCTGCTCATCAACCACCTCTATGCAGCTCGGCCTGAGAGAATCAAGCAGCCTTTCAATTTCTTAAACTTTCGAAGAGTGTGATTTGCCGAGGCCTTCGGAAACGTCACGACGGCCCAGAACTGAGCGTTCAGGTGCCAGTTTCACCTTGCACAACGACAAAGACTCCAAAAGCACGGTCCAAAACAAGCTCGTGCCGTAGTTTCTCAAAGCCATAAAACAGAATGTCAGAAGGGAATCTGCACAGGCTTATGTCTGCGTCACTTCATGCTGAGAGCATTCCTGGATCAAGACAAGTTTGAAACCCATTGCATTGTCGTCGAGAAGAACAGCCATGCCTCTCATCGAAGATTGCGCGCCATCCCCAGCAAGAAAGGTACGGAAACTGGACACCCAGCAGCAAAATCTCGTAAATCTGAAGATGCTGGGAGTGGACTTCGTGCTGCCCAAGCAAATTGCATACCAGGAACACTTATCCTCCTTTCCAGAACGTCCTCTCGAACTACCAGCCACAATTCCTGACGACTTCGTGAAGGACACCCTGGCAGAATTGAACGCGCACCCGCGAGACAGAAATATCAGCTTCCAAGCAGACGACCACATCTACTTTTGGAAAGGACAGCGTGTGTCCAAATCAGTCACCCAATTTATTCACAAATTCGCCGCACCGTTCTGCGAAGAGCAGGTCATCAGTTCAATGCGAGAAAGCTGCAACTGGCCTCGTCCC